GATAGAGGCCAGTGTCCAGTATTGCTGTATAGGGTGTGCATTCTCTCCGATGAAAAGTGCTTTGGAGTAATTTTACCGTATCATTTGTTGCAGACAGTTACACAGGCAAGCTGTCCTTTCTCTGATTTGTAACTTTACATTTTCCAATCCAGCAGTCAGCAATACATTGTAAGCTTTGTAGTAGAAAAACTCGAACATTTTCGATAAGTTCGAGTTCTTGTATTGTAGCCCACCTAATGCCAGTTGGTCGTCTTTGTTCGACGACAACCACACCTTCTACATCTTTAGTTCAGTGTGGCAAAGTGTGTCACTGCTAAAACATAGACCGTCTAGAGTTCGCGTTGCAACGTCCACCTAATGATCTGTTTATACCCAAGAAACGATCGCTTAACCTTTCCATACTGTGCTATTTGTTTTCTTTTTGCGAAAATATTTTAGGCTTAACCTGGCTCTTTGCAATGGAAACTAAGCAGTTCAATTTATTAGCTTTTTTGAACATTTATTGATTTCAATTCTAATTTAGTTCGCGGCGACGTCAAGAAGGAGTAGCACCGACGAGGAAGCTCGTAAAAAAGTATGTTGTCGTTTACGAGCTCATTTCGGAAAATTATCACTTCTTCTTCGTTTCAGTCCTGCAAGGAAATAAATCTGTGTTCTAGTACAAGCGCTTCTGAAGAGGAAGACAATGAGGTGATCTTCATCACTTAGCTTAAAATGTTTGCTAAGTTGATTGCTGGCTAGGATTTCTAGTTTTTTTTTCTATTTCAACATCTACGACGACATTCTTGTGAGAAGAACAAATTTAGAACCGCAGCAAACTTCCATGCGTGAAGCGTCGAGCTGGCTCTTCGTCAGACCATAATAGGCCTTCCTCTCGAACTACTGATCGATCATCAAAGAAGAAAAAAATTAAACACAAAGCAAGTGTGAAGTTACAAAAGCGAATTGAGTCGTTGTCGTCGTCAAGCGAAGACGAAGAAGAACTAAAGCCTGCAAAAAGGCGATCGGCTACGGGTAGGTCATTTTTCACTAATTATGTGATGCACTGCTACGAGGGTTGCCTTTTATATTTCGGGACTGGGCAACCCTAGTGTTGCAATCTGGCAACTGACAGCTCTATCGTAAAGTTTGACATTTTTGAGGTTATACGTACTCAGAACGTTTTGACATATGAGCGCTGTTTGTGTTGTTTACACTAACTTAAGCGATTTAGGTCGGCCAAAAAAATGGAATTAAATCGTGTAACCTC